AGAAGGCTTAGGTCCAGGGAGAAAAGCTACCAGATTCACCAAAAGCTCAGGTTCTATCTCTGCGGATTTCTCTGGAGATGGGAAAGAGCCAGGAGCGGCCAATATCATGGCAAAGGAGAGAGAGAGAGCAGAGTGGTCCTAGGCAAACACTCCCCCTGTCTGGGACTCACTCATCTCCTCTGTGAAAGAGCAAGACAGGCACAGAGCCCACAGCCCCCTGCCCCAGGATGAATTCCATGAGGCCATCAATCGACCACATATCCAAGAGCTAATCCGGAAATTTATTATTCAAAGACATGAAAGCATCCCGCACCCTCGGGAGCCCCGCCCCTGACTTGAGCAATCCCATCCACCACTCACTTCCTCCGGTGCGTCCTCACCACCACCTCCTTCTCTTAGGTCACAGCTGGCCTCCTGGAGGTGTCCCGCAGGTGGAAAGTCCAGCAGCCCGGTAAGTCTTGGAACACCTACCCTCCCAGGTCTCTCCTCTCTGACCCCACACTCTGGGGCATCTCCCCCTCCCCCTTCTCCCTCAGCCTCCTTTTTAAACTCTTGTTTTAGGCTTCCCTGTCCCCAAAGGGAGAACTTCTGCCTGCTTCTTACAACCCTCTCCAGCAACCACTCAGGGCCACTTCCAACCCACCTCCTTCCCTGGCTCTAGAGCCTTCCAGAACCAGCAGCCTTCCCTGCTCTTCTAGGTCGGGGTCTGAGCCTGGGCTGGACACTGAAGCCAGCATTTGTGGACGATGTTTATAGAGAAGGAATGCTGGGATTGTAGGAAAATGTCTGCATCTTTTGTCATTGTTTAAAAATTTTTCCCTTAAGCGTTCGGGATCTTGTCAATTCCCCTGTGCTGTTGCGTTTGTGTGTAGCTCATTGGAGGTCATCCCACCCTTGGAGCTTCTCAACTACCTGGTGGGGAGTCACCAAGGGGCTGCTGTTTCGGTTCCAGCAGGGGAGCTCCCACTGGGTCACAGAGAACATGACTGGGCACTCAGTAGAAGCCAGCAAGTTGAAGGGTGTTTGGTTTGTCATTCTGAAAAGGGGTATTTCTTTAATTGGGGGCTTAAGGTTCAGCAAAAGAAGACAATGCACAAAATTCAGGCAGTGTGAGTGAACTATGCCCAAGAACTGAGCCACATCTCAAGAAATTAACTTATAAACAAAGGCTTTGGGGTGTAGCTCAGTAGTAGAACACATGCTTGGCATGTGCAGGGCCAATCCTGCCAACAAACAAACAAACAAACAAACAAAAAACTACTTAGCTTAGAAATATGTTTAAAATATGAGATGTGATATTTTTTTAAAAGAAGCAGTGTTATAGACTGAAAATAATGCAAGTTGAGCCATTTAATCTAGTTGGAATCCTAACTAGATCCTTACTGGCCCTTGCTGAGCCTCTCGGCCTCAGTCTTCTCACGGGTAAACATCATAGCCATTTGTAATGACCAAGGGCAACTGCATATCTGTGAGGTACAAAGCAGACCTCAGCTGCACCATCTCCCTTCCCTGGGGCTGACCCTTTAGCCACCAGCCCAACCTCTAAAGTATGGTAAATGAAAAAACAAACACCAGCAACAAACATCCTCCCCAGTCCCCAGGACTGGAGGCCACTGGCCTGTCGTGGTTTTCTTTTCTGATTTCTGGACCATCCATCCTTACTTGCATGGTCTCCCCCTGGATCCTCAGGCCAGCCCTGGATGCCTGGGATGGTGACCTCACCCATATACCTGCCGTCCAGCTGAGTGCTAGCTGGTTGAGAAGGAGGACTTACCCCAGCAACACATGCTGCCACTGCTGCCTTTGCTTGTCAGCTGATCTCTGCAGCAGCCCCAGCCCCGCTTCTCACTGCTGGTGCCCCTGAATGGAGAGGCTTGCCCTCAAAGCGCTCTGCACCCGCCATGCTCTGCATTCACTCTCAAAGAGGGTTCTCTTCTTGTTCATTTGTTTCCTTAAAAAGCATCTTTGAGGGGCTGGGGGCTCAGTGGTGGAGCACTTGCTCTCACGTGTGAGGCACTGGTTTCGATCCTCAGCACCACATAAAAATGAATAAACAAAATAAAGATATTGTGTTCAACTACAACTAAAAATATTTTTAAAAGCATCGTTGATCTATCTGCTCTTAGAGGTGACCCATCTTTAACCTCATGACTTCCTTGGGCTTAGCTCTGATGAAACTTGCTCTTGACCTTGATACTTCAGAGCCAGCAATTTCCTTTCGGGTCTTGCGGATCTTGCTGGTCCAGCCAGCAGTACAACCTTCCTCTCCCACGGCCTCCCACCCTCCCTGCCAGACAGGGCCCCACCCTCCTCAAGACATTTTTTTTAGGTTCACGGACTGATTGAATCTTCTCTCTCTCTCTCTCTGTGCAGATCTTAGAGCGCTGAAGGCAATTTGTCTGTCCCCTCTCTCTTACAAGGGAATGAGGGTTAGGAATTCCATCACTCATTGGGGGAAAAGGCATTATTTTTCCAGCTTCTTTTACTCTAGCTCAGCTTTCTTCTTTGCTACATATGATTTGACAGAGACTACCTTCTGCAAAGAGAAAAGCTTCCTAGGACTTTGATTATTGTCATCATTTTAATATTGGTATTTGCTTTGTAAGACAGGGTACTCTTTGGTTAATCTTTTTAATTTGAGATGTAATTCACACAGCACAAGTCACCCATGTAGAGTGTATAATTCAGGGGGTTTTAGTATATTATAACACTATTGCTACTGGTTTCAAAATACTTTCATCACCTTAGAAAGAAACTCTAAACTCATTGGTATCCTCCCTCCCTCAAGCTCCTGGCAATTACTAGTCTATTTTCTGTCTTTATCAAATTGCCCATTTTGGCCATTTCACAAACAAGGAATCATAGAGTATGAAGCCTTCTCTGTCTGGCTCTTTTCACCGAGAATAATGTCTTGAAGCTTCATCCATGTGTGATGTATCAGTGCTTCATTCTTTCTTATGGCTGGATAATATCCCACTGTATGGATATATTTCAGTTTATTTATTCATTCATCCATTGATGAACATTTAGGTTGTTTCCACCTTTGGGAAATCATGATAAATGCTGCTATATACATTGTGTACAAGTTTTTAGCGAACATAAATTTTCAGTTCCTTTGGGTCTATACCTAGGATGGGAATTGCTGGATGACATGGTTTAGCTCTCTGAGCAAATGCTAAACTGCTTTTCAAAGCAGCTACACCATTCTAAATTCCCAGCAGCAATGTACAAGGGTTCTGATTTCTCCACATCCTTACTGTCCATCTTTTTAAAATTATGCCCAGTCTAATAAGTATGAAGTGCTTCCTGGAACTTTTTACTCCCTGATCCTTCTCTAACACTGGGTTCCATTTGGGGGTAAGTTACAAGCTTGACTATGACCATAGGTCGTAATTCGCTATAGAGAAGTGGAAAGACGGTGATCTATGTTGTGATTTCAGAGGAAGCTAAGTTGGTAGCTGGTTTGCTTTGGATTGCCTCTTCTTGGAAAACTGGGATAAGATTTCCCCAGAATCTAGACCTCTGCTGTCCCCATAGCAGAGCCCACAGAGGAAGACAAACTCTACAGGGAACAGAGGAGCCGGAGATGGAGGAAGGTGCACACCACAGGACAGATGGAATAGTGTGTCTCCACCTGTCTTCTCTATTTCCTGACATCCCTGCCTTTTATTCTGGGAGCATAATACTGGCACACCCCTACAGGACAGAATATGGCTGCCTGGTGCTCTCCAAGTAATGTTATGTCTCCATCCACTCACAGAACTAGGCAACCACCAGCCTATCGTTTTTAAAATATTTTTAAGCTATACATTCCCCCCAGTCTGACTTCCTTCCTCCCAAAAGAGAAATGCTGGACCTCTTTTTTTCCCCAGTACCACGGATTAGACCCAGGGCTTTACTACAAAACTGACAGATGAATCCTTTTGTTTAGCTAAGCAAGTTCTCTACCCCTGAGTTACATCCCCAGCCCCTTTTCAAATTTTATTTTAAGGTAGGAGTTCACTAAGTTGTCATCCTGGCCTCAAATTTGCAATTAATCCTCCTGCCTCAACTTCTAGAGTAGCTGGGATTACAGGTGTACATCACTGTGCCCAGCTTAATGCGAAGACTTATTAACTGATTTAAAGTTTGTTCTAGTACAAGCCTTCTGAATTTCCATGCTGCTGTGATTCAAACGGTCTTTCCATCTTGCTTCTTTGAATCCATGCATTTTAATGAATTTCTAAGTTTTCAAAATGAATTAATAAATAAAATTAGTTAAAGAAAGCTAAATAAAGGGATTCATCTGTCAGTTTTATAGTAAAGCCTTGATCTTGGCCTGCTTACTCCCGAACATTAAGAACTGAAGGGGCTGGGCACAGTGGCACCCGCCTGAAATCCTAGTGGCTTGGGAGAAGAGACAGGAGGATCACAGGTTCAAAGCCAGCCTCAGCAACTTAGCAAGGCTGTAAGCAACCTAGTGAGATCCTATCTCAAAATAAAAAAAAAAATTAAAAAGCGGGGACTGAGGATGTGGCTCGGTGGTTAAGCACCCCCTGGATTCAATCTGTGGTACCAAAAAAAGAGAAAGAGAGAGAGAGAGAGAGAGAGAGAGAGAGAGAGAGAGAGAGAGAGAGAGAACTGAAGTGCATCTCACATTTCCAAATGTTAAATATCCAGCCTCAATAACCAAACTTGTTCACCACTGAGGGACCCAAAAAAGGACTCTATATGCAAAGGAAAGTTTCAACAAAGTTTGGGTGATGGCAACGTTGTGGAATATTCAAGGAAACTGTAAACTTTTTATAAAGTGTACCATTTACTTGTCTCATAGCCTTACTTCTCCTATTATTTACCAATTTGAAGTGAAAGTTATTTCCATGTAACTTGCAAGCCAATGCAAAAGAATCCTTCCTCTCTTAATTTCTTGTGTGGGTGGGCAAAATCTTGTGGGGATGGGGGGACTTACGTGCAATAACCCTTTTATCTCCTTTCTAGGCAGGATTTAGATTTATCTCAAAATGGAAGGATTCAGTTGGGAGAATTACAACTTGGATGAAATCTTAGAAGAATTATATAATTACAGTTATGGCACTGGCCTGCCCTCTATCCTACCAGATTCTGCCCCGTGCCAGCCAGAATCCCTGGAAATCAACAATTATGTTGTGGTCGTCATCTACATTCTGGTGTTCCTGCTGAGCTTGCTGGGAAACTCCCTGGTGATGCTGGTTGTCTTGTACAGTCGGAGCACCTGCTCTGTCACCGATGTCTACCTGCTGAACCTGGCCATGGCCGATCTGCTCTTTGCCCTGACCTTGCCTATCTGGGCAGCCTCCAAAGTGAAGGGCTGGGTTTTTGGCACAGGCCTGTGCAAGGTGGTCTCATTCCTGAAGGAAGTCAACTTCTACAGTGGTATCCTGCTCCTGGCCTGCATCAGCTTGGACCGCTACCTGGCCATCGTCCATGCCACACGCACACTGATCCAGAAACGGCACTTGGTCAAGTTTGTATGCTTAAGCATGTGGATAATGTCTATGATTCTGTCCCTGCCCATTTTAATTTTCCGTAAGGCTGTCTACCCACCCAATTCCAGCCCCGTGTGCTACGAAGACATGGGTAACAATACAACAACGTGGCGGATGTGGTTGCGGATCCTGCCCCAGACCTTTGGCTTTGCCATACCGCTGCTCATCATGCTGTTGTGCTATGGCTTCACCCTGCGCACCCTGTTTAAGGCCCACATGGGGCAGAAGCACCGGGCCATGAGGGTCATCTTTGCTGTTGTGCTGGTCTTCCTGCTCTGCTGGCTGCCTTACAACCTGGTCTTGGTCGCAGACACCCTCATGAGGACCCACTCAATTGCGGAGACCTGTGAGCGCCGCAGTGACATTGACCGGGCCCTGGATGCCACAGAGATTTTGGGTTTCCTCCACAGCTGCCTCAACCCCCTCATCTATGCCTTCATTGGCCAAAAGTTTCGCCACGGACTCCTTAGGATCATGGCTACCCATGGCCTGGTCAGCAAGAAGTACTTGGCCAAGGAAGGCAAACCTTCCTTCATTGGCTCTTCTTCAGGGAACACTTCCACCACCCTCTAAGGCTGCCTGCCTAAGTTGCAACCCTGGGGGTCCCACCTTTCCCTTCAGGGTGACAGATAGCTAAGCTGCACGTGGTGGTACCCACATCCGTGCAGCCCCTCCGTTGTGGTGACAGGAAGAGCATGGCTTAGAAATCCTGTCCTGGTATTTCACTCCTCTCCATAATTACATGCCAACTGTTAGAGCTGATCCATCCTACAGCTGGACCCAACACACTGTCTTCTAAGAAGCACAAGTCAAAACTGCAGTGAGATACTACACAGCACCCATTGAGGGTGTCCATTATCAAGGAAAAAAGCACAAGACAAATTAGCAAGTGTCAGCGAGGATATAGAGGAACTGGAAGTTTCACGCACTGCGGGTGAGAATGTAAGATGGCCCGCCACTCTGGAAAGCAGCCTGGCAATTTTCCATGAAACATGAAACATAGAATTACCACATGATCCAGAAATTCCCTTTCTAGGTATGTACCCCAAAGAATCCAAAGCAGGGGCTTGAACAGATATTTGTGTGCTGATGTTCACAGCAGCATTATTCACAAGAGTCAAAAAGTGGAAATAACCCCGAGGATCATCAACAAATGAATGGATCAACAAAATGTGGAACATACATACCATGGAAGATCACTTGGTAATTAAAATAAATGGCGGACTCATACATGTTCCAGCGTGGATAAGCCTTGAAAATGTTATGCTAAGGGAAATAAGCAAGATACAAAAAGGGACAAATATTTTTATTCTACTTACATGAAACACCCAGAATAGTCAAATTCACAGAGACAGAAAGTAGAATAGTGGTTACCAGGGGAGGGAACAGAGGGGATTTATTGTTTAATAGATCAGAGTTTCAGTTTGGGATGGTGAAAAAGTCCGAAGATGGACAGTAGGGATAGCTGAACCATAATGTGAAAGTAATTCATTCTGCTAAGCTATGCATTAAAAATGGTTAAAATGGGGGTTGGGAGTGTCGCTCGAAGGGTATAGTGCTTGCCTAGCATGCATGAAGCCCTAGGTTTTATCCCAACACCTGAAAAAAAAATGTTAAAATGGTAAATTTTACCTCAATTAAAAAAAAAATGCTGAGCCCAAAAGGCACTTTAACCACTGAACCAATGATGGAATTATCTACCTGTAATTTCTTGTAAAGTGAGATTATTAAATATGTTTTTTATAAGCTACTTTTTGTTGGCATTTATTTCATTGCTTCCAACCAAAGCATGTAAACTGCTACATGTAGGGATGAGCCAACATCCCGAGGGAGGGCGTTTCCAGAAATAAATCCCTTTGCTGGCTACTGGGTCCATGGAGAGAAGGCTGGGAAGAGATGGAGCCTGGTCTTCCACCCCACATGCCCAGCCAGCTCAGGGCCCCTGCTGCTGAACATGGCTCATCGGAAGAAATATGTTCTGAGATCCTCAGGGCTCCTCAGGGCTCCTCGGGTCCTCGGGTGACACAGGAGTCAGGAGCGTTGGGAATGGGTCTTTGGAGGTGCAGAATGCTGACCCGACTGGGCTCAGGAAGGCAGGGAGCTCTGGATGAAGCAACAGCTCCCACCGTGAGACTCCCTCACACTCTCCTTTCTCCTTTCCAAGACACACTCTCATCATTCAGGGTGTAACAAAACAGTGCCACTACAGAATGGGGAAGTGATTTATAGTCTGTCTTACGGAGGAAATAAAAACCAGAATCGACATTCAGTGTGTATTGAGTGCTTGCTGTTGCAGGGAGTTGGGATACAGCAGCGCCCCAAACAGCCCTGCCCCGGCCGAGCTCACTCTCACAGGGTTGGTCTCTGAAAGGGTCTTTGACAAGAGGGGCTCTGGCTCTGAGCAGCCTGTTAAGAGAATCAGAAAGCAAGAGGGATGGAACTCCCACTGTCCCAAGCAGCACTTCCTATTAACCACAGTCCAGGAGCCGGCAGAGAGGCAGGAGCAAAGCTCTGGGGAGGAGGCTCAGAGCAGGCACTTCCACCGTGATTCATGAAAGTGCTTTTCCTATTGCATTCAGCAAATAGGATTAATGCAGTGTCAACAGTCTCTTGTCCTGAACTCATTCTGTGCCAGGTACTGTGCCAGGTACTTAAGAACAAGCATGACTCAGAGGCTCCTCTGATTCAGTAGGACGTCACCTATTTACCAAACAGCCCAGTTGCCCTAGGGACCAGTGCTGTTCTGCCTGGGCAAGACGGCCAGCCAGATGGCTCCCTGAGATGACTCTCCAAGGGAGGAGGCCAAATTAGGTTTCACTCTTATTCCAGGACCCTGCTCTCTGCTCCTCTAACAAGGCCTGGAGGAAACACGGTTCTCCAAGGAAACCAGAGGGTGCAATGAGCCCAGAGAGAGGGGGGCTGAGATTAAATTGCACTGATGTGGATTCTGGATGTTTATCCCAGCGTCTCTCTGTGTCTCTCTCCCTCCCTCCCTCCCCCCACCCTCCCTCTCTTCCATAAGAACATTCTTGGAACAGATAGTTTCGCAGCCGAGTCACCACTAGGACAGGGCAAATCCAGAGCTGCCTTTCAGTTATTATTTCCTTTCTTTCCTCCCTCATTCCTGGGCCTGAGTCCCACTGTCTGAGGGTTCAGTTCTGAGCCTAGATCTGCCTGCTCCAAACTGGCCTTTCTAGCTTATGACATAGTTCCTCCACTTGCCTAACACCTGCTGTCTTTTTTATCCGTCTTCCTGAATCAATAATACCTCTCCCCACCACAATCCCCAGTCTCTGCAAGACGGGTTCCATTTTGTTCATTAAATCAAGACAAACTCCTGTCTAGTTGAGGGGACATTAAGAAGTGCCCCTAGTTTACGTGTCACATTAAATAAAATTCACTGTGTGCAGACCCACATGGAGACCCATTGCACTATGTAATAGTAGAGTTTAAAAGGCCTAAAGAGTCTCAAAATAAAACACAAGGAAAAAAAAAAAAGCCTAAAGGTCCCCAGGCCAACTCTTTCTATATGTAAGTATAGGAGCAAAGGTCTAAGCAGAGCAAACTGGCCAAAATGTCACGGCTGGATAGTAGAATTGGAATAAAAATTCCAAGTTCCACTCATTTTTTAAAAAATCTTATTTTTGCTTTAGTGACAGTGGCATTTCAGGCAGCTGAGAGCTGGGTGGGAAACGGTATGTGACTTTCTCAGAACATGGCACTCACGGGCATAGGACCTGTGTACTTTTTCTGTGCCTGCACTCCTTGGGCCTTGGAGCTGGGTTATTGGGTCTCCATCGTCCTGATGGATGTAGGGATCAGCAGAGGCTGAGGGGCCTGAGGAGTGGCTGCAGGCCATTCTGAGCTGGCAGGCAGGACACTTAAGGAGACTATCAGAGTTCAATGCAAAATTCAAAGACAGGCAAAACTGAACCCTCTTTTGAGGACACGTACGACATCAGTCAGGGCTCAATTTGAGACAGAGCCACTAGCAGTTGGGATTTGTGATGGAAAGTTGATACCATGCAATTGTGGGCACTGGTGAACCAGACTGTGCCAGGTTATTGACTTTGCTTCTGCGAGGACCTGAAGCTGGCAGGACAGACAGCCCGAAAGCAAAGATGGACATGAAGTGGGGAGTGGGGAGGGTGAGCTGGAGCCTACAGAAACACGCTGAAACTGGCCTTGGTCCAAGTTCAATGTGTAGATGGCACCAAGGTACTGCGGCCCCAGCTGCTGCCCCACGCCTACAAGACAAGCCAGCTGGTAAGCAACAATGTGCGACCGTCAGGTGCCTTGCTCTGACCTTCCAGAGCTTGAAACATGTGCAGATACTACTCCTCTCCCACCTGCCAGGTCTCACATAGAAAATCTGCTGGCCCACATCTCCTGCAAGTACTGCAGGAGAGAATTGGGAGGAACAGTTCCATTTTAGCTAAGTGGATGCCACACAAAGCCTCCACACAACACAGATGCAAGTGCCAAAGAAAATGGGGTGCAGGTGCCAGCACCCTCAGAAAATATTTACTGTAGAAAGAGGCAGTCAGGGCTTTTGAGGGCACTGAAGGATGTCTGAGATCGAGGCATTATCCTAGTCTTTAAGCTTTAGATGTAAGTTTTCTGTAGCAGGTAGTATGTATACTACTCATCTTAAGAAAATTTTTAGTCATTAATACAAATGAAAAATAAGGAGAAAGTGACCAAAAGGACAAAGGACAATTTTGAGAACTATTGCAGGGAGTTGAGTCCAGGCTTTACATCCTGGAGCTTGGGGGTCAGAACAAACCAGATTGAAAGATATTATCACCCACAGCTGGTAGGACAGTAAATAGGTGTGATCTTTGGAGAAGACACTTGATATCTTACTTGAGTGCACAGGCTCTCTGATCCAGGTATTTCACTTTTAGAAATCTGTCCGGCAGAAAAACCCACATCGATGGACACATTATAAAAGCCAAAGCTTAGAACCAACAGTAACGTCCATAAATAAGGAACTGCTTCAACTCTGAAGGTATGTTCATACCACAGAACACACTGGACATGGTGGTTAACAGCAAGGTTGAAATGAGCATGCTAAGTGAGAGAAGCAGGGACAGAAGATCATGTGAACCTTGATTGCATTTACACAAAATGTCCAGAGAAGACAAGTTTACAGAGACAGAAAGCAGGTAAGCGTTCACTCGGAGCAGGCAGAGCGAGGGCAGGGGGACATTGACCGCAAACAAGCACAATGGGTTTTCTTGAGGTGATGGAAATATTCTAAATCTGGATTGTGGTAATATTTACACAACTGTGTAAATTTACTAAAAAATCACTGGCTTGTGCTACAGTTTGAACATCTGTTCAAGAGTCATGTTGAAATTTAATTGCTATTGTAACAGGACTGAGCTGGAGGCTTTAAGAGGTGATTAGATTATATGGGGTCTGCCCTCATCAGCGGGTTAACACCACTAGCTCTGAGTGAATTATTCTGGGAGTTTCTGATTAGAAAGATGAGTTCTCCTGGCTTTCTCTCTGCATATGCTAGCTTGCCCTTCTGCCATGTCAGGACACAGCCAAATGACCTCCAAGCT